ACGATGTAAGACACGTTTTATAACAATATAGATCTTGATTATCGAACATATGGTCTTGACTGGGCGCCTCCATTTTGTTTGAAGCAAATGCAAGTGAAACAAGAGGTGGAATCTGATTGGTCCATAGGAGAACCTTAGAAGGGACATAACTCATAATAGCCACTGGTACCACAACGAACGAGCCCATGAATTCCAGCCTAGTTCGGCAAGAGTGGAAACTGGACTTTTAAAGTCAGTTAACTCTCTTGCCTCGGGAAGATGAATACTAACATGCACAATCAGCCTTTCAGTATATGACTTTTAGAGGGCACTTGCCTTTGGTGATGGTACAACAGAGAATGTGTTCATGATTCTGTCAGGGTACTCCTCCCTGATTTTACTGATGAGGAGTGTGCCCATGCCAGACCCAGTGCCACCACCCAGAGAGTGGGTCAGTTGGAAGCCCTGTAAACAGTCACAGCTCTCTGCCTCTTTGCGGACCACGTCCAGCACGGAGTCTACCAGCTCGGCACCCTCTGTGTAGTGACCCTTTGCCCAGTTGTTACCAGCACCGCTCTGGCCGAACACAAAGTTGTCGGGTCTAAAGATCTGTCCGAAAGGACCAGATCGGACAGAGTCCATGGTGCCTGGCTCCAGGTCGACCAGCACAGCACGGGGGACATACTTGCCTCCTGCAAAAACATATGTTTAACAAATAACGTATCCCCAATATAACATACATTCGTATTCACCTAGTGTTAACACTGTTCATAGTATAGTGACCATAAAACCTTTCATACGTAAATGATTCACTGTTTGGACAAAAGGTAAATCAATCTGAGAAATAAAAACAATATTAAGACTTAACCAGTCTTTTTTTAAATTAAAACGCCTAGAATTTATCAAAATCAAAATTAAGACTTTACAAGACTGACAATATATTGAGTTACCTGTAGCTGGAGACCATAAAATTAGTACATGGTCTTCCAAGGATATACAAGTGTAAAAGGAGTTACCATTTGCACTGACAATTATTTCTGAATATGTCATAAAGAAAACTTTTCATATTTATCTCAACAATTCCACATTGGTGACACATTAACCATATGTATTGCTTGCCCTGTGTACAGACCTGTGGCTTCATTGTAGTACACATTGATTCTCTCTAGCTGAAGATCAGAGTCCCCATGGTAGGTGCCGGTGGGGTCAATGCCATGCTCATCAGATATCACTTCCCAGAACTGGAAAATAGCAGTAATAACTTAGTGAAAAAAATCAAAATGAAAATCATTCCGAGGACATTAATGTATCCCAACTGACTTACAATCATTTTATACTTTCTATATGACAATGTTGTTTTAAAATTGGTTTGTTTTCATGTATAGTGCCATGTATTATTACACTATGCCAAAAAAGTAGTGCCAGGTCCAGTTTTAAAAGTAACCAGGAATTGCTGATCATCTATTAAATTTCCATATGAAGATAAACCGGAAGTAATTTAAAAAATAATAATATAACAATAAATGAATCATGTTCATACCGTTGACATTTTCTGTGCGTTTATATTCTTATTTGTTGGAATTTACATATACATGTATTTTTCTTATGTTAGGCAGTTTTATATTAATCTTATTCCTTGTAATGTTGTTTTAAGAGCTTTCCAGACATCTGCTTGTTTACGTTACATTTTCTTCTACATAATTCCTTTAACCTTATTCGTTGGCTTTTTCTTGTATTTAATTACGAAGCTTGCGTTAATTTACGGTTATTCTCTGCAGCCTGGTGCCGATAAAAAAACAAACACTTGTTTTCAGTTTGGGAGTATCCAAATACAACTTTTTACAATGTAAGCAAGCGGTGTTTTTCGGTTGTATGGCTACCTTAGCGATCTGTTGTATCATTGACTCCGAAATGTAGTCCGTTCGTCGTCAGTGAGCAGGTCACACTCTGGCGCACTGGTGACAGCATTGCACCGCTACCACAGGCTAATTTACATATCACGTGGCCGGACTTTTCTCTTCATAAACAAACGCGCTTATTCCGAAATCAGAACCGACTGGGCTTATGCAAGCCTTTCGGTGCACTTCACATAGTGTTTTGCATAGTTACATAGATATGCTACTACAACTGCGACAGTGAGGTGCATGACAATATATCTTTATAAATCAAAGTGCCCGCATCGCTAGCTCTCGGTGTGGCTTCGATGACGGCCGTACAACCATTGTAAAGCACTGATAACTACGCATGTAGAAATAGTTTTTCCACGTTTTAGGACATTTTCTCAGTGAAAGCAAACCATTCTATGACATAATTATGTTTATCTAAATGTGTAGATTTGTCAAACATGAAAGAGGTTAAACATATATGCAATATCAGGGATGTGAGTAGGTTTCCGAAAACGGGAGAAGTCTAGGGGGGTCTGGGGACAAGCAACTTACCTTGTACTTACTTACCTTTTGTTGAAAAAAAACAAAAAACAAAACTCCATTGCAAATATAAGACATCAATACAACATATATCCCCATGTTATGGGTTTTCGGACGCTGACGAAACATTCATAGTTTTCTCGCTAATCACACGAACAACGGTAAAACATCTCATTCACTTATAGGCTAAAAGACAACTTTATCTTAAAAACAAGCCATCGTCAGACTCTGAGTATTTACAATTTCTGTGTGACGCCACACCCCACGTTATAGAGCAAGTATTCGTGGTAGAAAACGTTTGATGTCCGAAAACCTATACTGCTGAAAGCTCCGATCGAAAACAGGACAATCCGCGACGGTTTTCCGGTTTTCGATCATTTCTTACGAGAACTACTGTTTTAAAAACGCGATTTCCGCGTTTTCCGCGGAGATTTCACATCCCTGCAATATCTTGAATGGATTGAGTAAAATGTGAAGAATCGTCATATGGCGCTGGCCTGTGGCAGAGGTATTATGCTAGTCGCACGGAACTCTGGGAAGGAGAGTGTGAGCAGGTGCGTGTAGTCATTGGCTAATCTTGATGACATTTGCCCTGTCTACAAACGGTGCTAGAATGACGTCAGTTTTGTGGCGTCACAATGGGTTTATAGACCACACGGAGTATTGTGATGTCATAATAGCCACGCAGTTCTCACACTAAGAGTATCCCACGTTACAGGTCGATCGATCGAGAGAGAGAGAGAGAGAGAGAGAGAGAGAGAGAGAGAGAGAGAGAGAGAGAGAAATATCTGTGATAATGTATTTTAAATTTACAATTTTAGAGGGGTACACTATCTACCAGTTGTCGGACTTTCATTTTTGTAAAAGCCTAAAGTAAAAGAATCTGTACTTTACTACTACGTAGGTTAGAAACTTGCGTAAATAATGATGATATATTTCCTAGTTATTAGTACTTCAAACTATGTAATGTATTATCAACCTTCTGGAGGGAAACAGTTGACTAACAAGGCCATCCTTCACAACCAACTGACACAGCGCGATGATTAAGCCCCAGATCTACATTGGTGCAGTCGACCTAACTGCGAACATCACAACATCACCTAATGCGCAAACTCCAAATTATTGTTTCTTAATTATTCACTACTGGTCTGAATCACGAAACTTGAGCTGCTTAAGTAACAAGTATGATAAACAGCCATCTTATCATTACTATCACTCCTATCAAAATGTCGTACATGTTGACTAAACTGTACCAGTTATGAGGATAAGCAAGATAGCACGCCTAGGACTGACTCAGTACTGAATGATCGCATAAATGTTGATATATATTTAACATGATTATTCGGTGAATCTTATCTCTAATTCGGGGATTGATAATTTATGTCAGACAGCATCACATTAATATTAATATCATCCTCAATATGTGTTACAGAATGAACGAACACATGAAAATAGGTCACAGCTAGGCGATGGGTGTTTAAATGGACCACTAGAACCGTATTTCATACCTTTTAGCTGCATGAAACACGTTTACTTATTTCTGGCCAGATTAAACAAACGAATAAGGTGGAAGGCACTTGGTCTTTTAATTTCTATGTTGTCATCTACCGATATTTGAGCTATACCGCACCCATCTGGCATGTCAAAGTGGGAGGGAGCATCTCCTATTCCATGGAATTGTATAATGGTAAATCCTTAAAACTTGCAATATTTGTCCATGGCTTACCTTAGCACCGATCTGGTTGCCGCATTGTCCGGCCTGGATATGAACGATTTCACGCATATTGTTGTAATAAGGCGATAACAGTTTAATGTGTATTGCACACAGTGCTTCCCGACGGCTTAACCGTTGAAACTGGCCTCGAAAGTTCGGGACGAGTATTTATATGCAAAGTGGAATTCCTCCGCAATTTTCTCGCTTTTCATTGGTTGAACAGGATTGAGGGACTAATTCGCCAGCCAAAACGTTACTTATGGTATTTGTATCCGTGGCTACTCATCTTTACTAATCTTAAGTTAAGAGTTATGTTGTTTCATGGAGATGATATGCACTGATGTATTTGTATATATCGGCATTTTTATTGCATAATTATTATGTCTGACCGAACTAAGCGTAATAATACTTCTTCGTTGAGCGTGACGTCATGAGAATTTGAACTCGCTGACGATTGGTTGGTCGCTCCTGCCAACCTTTGTGTTGTGTGATTATGGCCCATATACTACTATCATACGAACGCTCTATGAATGATGTCTTAAAATATCCCTCTGTCGACCATTTATTAATGTAATTATCTGTGCGACTGATCGTATGGTTTATATATTTGTAGATAGCATGTTGAATGCATATAACTTTTTTGAATTCACACAAATGTATACTGACAAATGTATGGCTAGTTTTGAGGAAAAGAATCAATTTCTAAGAATTACTTTACACATCTCCTTGTATTTATAAACAGTTCGAACCGTGTCTCTATGTCTGTCAGTAGTATGAAATTGTTGCAAATACACAGCGTTTCCTTTTCCCTTTTCCCTTTTTTCCAACACCACGAGTTTACATTTCTACACATGACATGGAACTAGTTGTACAGACAACCATTTATGTGAACATGTGTTTTCATTGAGGCGGAAGAGCGACGAGTCGTAGACGGTCGTTAGATTTTTGTGTAGAACATCCTCTTCGTTACTAAAACGATGACAGATTCAGACATTAAAGCAGAACAGCCCCAAGTGACAGTGCACACATTTACTGCAAGCGTCACGGATACCACCGTGTTTTATCAAGTTATCAAAATGAGCGACAGTTTCCATCTTTGGGTTGGAGCGAAACCGTCCCTCGAAAATATGGCACTTGCAATGAACACCCGATTTGTAAGTTAACGTTCCAATATGAAAAAGGAAAACTGTTACGATACAGGCAACATCATATGTGTTAATTACTATTATGAGTTACTACTGATTCATGCGTTCGGGAGACAAATTTTGGGAGGTGTATAAATAATGTTATTGTGTACAGTAATGTTTGTAGTGAAAATTGACATTTTAGGATATTGTATGGTAAGACTTCCGCCCGTATCCCCCCCCCCCCCCCCAACAAAAAAAATAAAATAAAATAAAATAAAATAAATAATAATAACCCAAACAAAAACAAAAAAACCCCAAAAAAACAACAAAAACCGAACAAACCCTAAAACAACAAACAATTATTTTGTTGGAAAAAAAAGCTATCTGTAAATGTATATAACTTTTGGAAGGGGTGGGGGTACGGGCGGAAGTGTTCCTGATTGATGCTCATGATGTCAATCACAGGATTGTCTGGTCCAGACTCGATTATTTACAGAGATTGCTGTCATATAGCTGTAATATTGTTGAGTGCGGTGTTAAACAACAAACAAACATATAATATACATTTATTAAGTCAGCTTGTCAGCATATAATGCTTCATTGTGTATATTATTCCTGTTATTCCACAGCTTACACATATAGCTGGAATATTGCTGAGTGCGGCGTTAAACAACAAACCAACCAACAACCACAGCTTACATAACACAATCACCTAACACAGAAGTCAATTGTCCATGTAGTTAGCTGTGGGGGATACATTGTAAACAGTTCTAGCCACAGGGCTAATGGTCAGCAACTTCACACTTCAGTTACCATGGTTACAAGGGAAAGTAAGGCCAAAGTTTGCTTACCCTAATATTTGTGTAGATAAAAAAGAAAATGATACAAATAACATTTGTGGAGCTCAATATTTTTTATATTTTGAATAAACATTGCTGAATCTGTGCAGGATGTTTGCCGTTTTTAAAGTAAATATCCATATGCAGTACCTTCGTCAGAGACATGACTCCTTTCTCTTTAAGTGTTAGCAGTGTCCAGTCTATGAATAGAATGCATGTGTTAAGTGTTATATAAGAAATTAAGTTGAGAATCTATAAATGAAATGTGTATGTTAAATATTATGAAATTAAGTTATATTGAGGTCAGACAAATAGAAGTAATACTACATGTATTCATTTCTTGCTTGTCTCCTATGAATGAGAGGTATAAAAGAGGAGTAAAACATCTAAGATGGTTGTCATTTTTGCTCAGGTCTGTCAAGTCTATAAATTAAAAAATGACGAGTGTTGCCTGTGTGCTACTAATATCAGGAATTTTTATAGGATTTCAAACAAAGCATAAATTGATATTTAGTTAATATTGAGATTTTTGCAAGGATCTTATTTTCTTAATTTCCAAGGTAATTTGAGATTACATTCAATGCACTACTGGTCCTGTTATCAATAAAATACAAATCACCTTGACCAAGCTGACACATTAGTTATAACAATATTAACATGATTTGGGAATTTCTGTCTTTCTGTTTGGAGGGGGAACGGGTGGTCCAGTCGTCTAAGGCGCAGCGATTCGCTGTGCAGAGTTGCGTCCGTTGGGCACGCCAGAAACCTATGATTGTGGGTTCGAATCCCGGTTTGCCCCGATTATGTTTCTAGGTTTGTCAGCACCATACCCGTGCTCGTGGGTTTCACCGAAGTGGTAAACGTCTGAGACCTGCATCACTTTGGGCTTTCCTCCCACATTAAGCTGACACGCCGCGATATAACTGGAATAATGTTAAAAGCGGCGTTAAACCTAACTCACTCACTCTTTCTGTTTGGGAATTTTTACTGACAGTTGCTGCAGATTTTGGGTCGAATATTGGCCTCTGAACAGGTATATGTTCCTTTGCAGGTTTCATTGAGCGAGATTAATGTTGTCTATCTAATCTACAGGTAATATAGCTCTGGGCCAAGTTCACTGGAATGTGTAGACATGCATAAACATGATAAGAGATCTAAACTGATCTACCCTACAAGTCGGCAGTTAGTATCTGTAATTAGTTTTATATACACTTAGGTAATTAGTTTTATATACACTTAGACATATTCCTTTAATGAGACCTGAGTGCAAGGATCAAATAAAAAGTACCAATACCTAAATTTATAATTCTAAAATGCTTGATGGCAAGATGAAGGTGCCACTCTGTGCAGCTGATGTATAATGTTATTGTTAGATTATTGCCATGACACACGCCAAGATCAAAGGCAGTAAAACAAGATGCTGTTATTTCCTACAGGACTCGATATAGTGATTGCAACCTATTTTTGAAAAATGCTACCTACTATTCATGTCTACAAACTATTTCAAATTTGTCGCTTACCCTTACCCTAATTTGTCGCTTACTTGTCCACACAACTTCAATCTTTGAACACCCTCAATACCTCAACTTTATTTACCATACATCACTAGTCCCTGTGTTATTTGTCATGCTATTTTTGGCTTGACGTCAGACTTTGTACTTCAAAATTATGTGCATGTTTTTACTTTGATAATTTTATGGTACCAGGGTGCAACCTGGTTTTGGCCAGTGCAACTAGGTTTTCATGTCAACATGCACCTGGTGCAAGTTAAATCAAGTTTCGTAAATCAAGCCCTGGGTTGTCAAGGATCTGTATTTCACAGTGCATAGTTGCTTCCCTTTGGCTGCCAGGATCTGATAATAGGTGGTTTTAATCACTGATTCATCCTGAATAGGAAAGCAGAAGGTTCGTTGGTTTGATCCCAACGTCGCATCATAACAAAAGATGTTAAAAGATGGTACTTGTTGTTACCCTGTTCGGTGGTTGGCATTAAAGGGTTGAAACACGCCTGCTCGACTCGGAGTCAGTATTCTGTGTCTGAGTGAGGTATCCATGTTAAACTGCGGCATGGTATGTCAGTGGCTAGCTCTATAAACTGGCATAAGTCCTGACTAGTACAAGCAGCCACACACACCCATCACTATAAACGGAGTAAGAGCAATATTCTTGAATGCTTTGATCAACCCAATTTCACCTCAGCCTCCATGTGATATACAGTCAAGTCTCGTTAATCCGACACACGTTAATCTGACAATCGGCTTTATCCGACACTAATGATGGGAACTGATTAAATCAGTGCTATTTAGACCCGTTAATCTGACAGTCTCGTACTCCGACTCCAACACACCAAATTATGAATTACCGAAATCACTCATTAATCAGTCTCGTTAATCCGACACAGTGATCAGCGTACTCTGTTGTCATCTGCCCGCGAGTACACAGCCCGTGTTTTGATGCAAGACAAGTCCACTGGTAGCTACATATTACAATGGCTACAGAGATAAACTTGCCTAACAATAAACAATTAATGCTTTAAATAAACACATTAGGATTAATCACATGCTTGGATTACCTCAATATCAATAAAACCAGATACAAGTTCTGGCTACCGCTGAGGATGTTAACATGGTTTATTTCCTTGTTTCTAGGAATCTCTGCCACTTGCAACCCACTTGTTTGGAGACAGTTCCAACCCCATTGCAGCGAGTCTGGCACAGAGGCTGGGTGAGACTGACATTTGGCTGTGTTGCTTGCTAATTGCTTTATTTGTCATGACTGTGGCTAATGGCTTGATTGGTCATTTAGAATTAACACACAGAATTATCACATATGGGAACATTCCTGGAATTCCTTATTCCTGATGGATCATTTGTGTAAAGCTTTTCTCAACACTCTGATCACACTTGAAATCGAATTGTGTGGGATATGAAATATCACTTTCCACAGACATGATAGATGATATACAATCTCTTGTTTTATTGTTCTTTGAGAGTGTTAACATGATTGTGGAAGCTATTGGCACAAACGCATTACAGACAATGTTACCAGTTACATTGCTACCTGTTTGGAATGCCTTTGTAATTGCCTATTGAGATCTATAATAACCGGACCCGTGAAGATCCAGGTAGAGAATAGGTCTTCAGCAAGGTCAGTTTGAAGGTCATACTCTCATGCAATGTCTTGTAAGCAGTTTCATTCAGAAGGTTTTGGCAATTTGATATGAAAATTTCATATCTGTATGACCACTAGGTGAATGAGTGAGTGAATTGGGTTTAACGCTGCTGTTAACAGTATTCCAGTTATATCATGGCTTGTCAGCTTAATGTGGGAGGAAAGCCTGAAGTGATGCAGGTCTCGGACGTTTACCACTTCAGTGAAACCCACGAGCATGGGTATGGTGCTGACAAACCTAGGAACATAATAGGGGCGAACCCTTAATTCGAACCCACAATCATAGGTTTCTGGTGTGACCAAGGGACGTAACTCTGCACGCGGTGCCTAAGACTGAGCCACTCGTACCTCCTTATGACCACAAAGTTTGCATAAAGTATTGTTCTTGCATTTCATTGGATTACCTTGAAGGTCGAAGTCACTCAGTATGAACTGTGCATTAAAAGATCTTGTGCTCACAATAACTGTAGTATTTATGAAGGGAACTTGATGAAACCAGTATTTATGATCTCTGTGCCAGAGTCTTCATGTTATCAACATTTGGGTTGAGCTCAGCATGAGGTCAAGGTCAATAGAGGTGAAATATGAAACGTGGTGCAAATTTCACGAAATTGGGCATGTTTGAGTTCAACTGTTACCAGATGTGGTGATGTCAAATTGGTTCATGATACATGTTTCTTGGATCTGTGAAGATCTGGGTTAGAACATGTCTTTAGCTAAAAATGCTTTTAAGAGGCAAATAAGCTTGTTGTAAAAGGCAACTAACAGGGTCAGGTGGCCAGGCTCACTGACTTGGCTGATGCATGTCATCATATCCCAATTGCGTAGATCGATGCTCATGATCCAGACTTGATTATTTAAAGACGCTGAGTGCGGCGTACAACAAAGAAACCAACATGTTTTAGGTGGGATGGTTATAGGACATTCAGGAATTGGTTGGGATGGGCACTGCTACTGTTCTTTGCATACAAACAATTTTACCAGGTATTTACATGATTATTTACAGGCTACTGTGGATTTAATTCTGTCAGCCGTCTTGGCCAGGTCCATGTTGAATTATATTGAGGTCACTATGACCATTGCTTTAATGGTGATACTTCACAGATGGGACCAGTGAAGATCCAGGGTAGAATAGGTCTTCAGCAACCCATGCTTGCCGTCAAAGGCGACTATGCTTGTCGTAAGAGGCGGCTAACAGGATCGGGTGGTCAGGCGCGCTGACTTGGTTGATGCATGTCATTGATCCCAATTGTGTGGATCGATGCTCATGATATTAATCACTGAATTGTCTGGTCCAGACTCGATTATGTACAGACCGCCGTCATATAGCTGAAATTTTACTGAGTGCTTCGTTTAACAACAAACCAACCAACTTCACAGATGGCCACAATGCAAGCAAGGCCTGTCATGAAACTATATGTCACAGATATTGACACAAGCAATGTAAACTTTACTGTCATCTTATCCTACTTGCGAGATCGATGTTCATTATGTCAATCACTGGATTGTCTGGTCCAGATTTGATTATTTACTGACCATGTATGGCTGGAATATTACTGAGTGAGGCGTTAATAAATGACAAACAAAAACAAATAAATGAAATTTCTTGATGGTGTCTGCTCTGATATGGATGGTGCCTAGAATTAGATATCTAGGTCAAAAAGTTATACATTGTACTTGGGTGTGAGGTGTTTGGATGAATATGATAGCCACGTCACCACAATGATAACTATGTGTTACATATGACTAATACACTGGTAGGGACTATCTCAAAACCACTCCTTGTGATATTGTTATAGAATGCTTATGTACTGTGGTGTACCCGGTGCATGACACTATCAGCATAATCAACAGCATATTGATGTGATCAACTAAGATGTCTAACAACAGTTTGATTTTTCAGTCAAGTTTGGCTTTAACCTTTAGCCTGCTGAATTGTTTCACTCCTCTGCCTGCTGGGTTTATTTTGGCATTGGGCGCTGTAAAGAGGCTGGGTGATTTCAAACAGTTAAGACTTCATTAAGAAAGACGATTGAACCAATACTTTGCACATTTAAATACTTGATAGAAAAATACACATTATTATCCCAGAACATATCCTGACATTTTCAAACATCCAGAGGTTAAAATAAAACGAAATCAAACGTAACATTTGTAAATTTTCTTGGTCTCACCTGAATTACATAACTGAAGGTGGAATGCTTTTCATATTAGGAACGTTCTAAGTGCAACTGATTTTATTAGTCACGTCTCTGATATCTTAAATTTAACTGAGTTTGTTTAAATCCTTCTTTTTTTCATTGATAGCAAACTGGTAAAATATGAACTATTTCTTGAAATTAATAATTATAAATGTTTGAAATAAATTATTATTAAAAAAAATATTGGGTTTATTCTTATGTATCAAATCTTTAAATATGCAGGATACAATAAAAGACAATCTACAACTCTTAATTCAAGTGTTTTGGTTCATTAAAGTCCACAATAATAAGCTACTGAAAGTTTTAGCAAGCTGAGATATATGCATATCATATGCAAGTTAGATGATCATATGCAAAGCCTATTTGGTGAATAGTTAATGCGACTTTTATTTGTGGCGTGTCCTTAAGCTGTTATTTGGGGCGTGTCCTTAAGCTGTTCGCCTGCCAAATGGGTTTGACAGTAGCATTGACAGCTTGAGTCAGGCATAGCGTCTGACATGCTTTGACTAGTGGAATTGTTATTACCGGTAATCATATAATTTGTTTGTTTGTTTGTTGTTTAACGCTGCATTCAGCAATATTCCAGCTAAATGGCAGCTGTCTGAAAATAATCAAGTCTGGACCAGACAATCCAGTGATTGACATAATGAACATCAATCCACTCAGTTAGGATACGTTGACATGCATCAACCAAGTCAGCGAGTCTGACCACCTGATCCTGTTATTCGCCTTTTACAAGCATAATCGCCTCTTACATGTATGGGTCGCTGTAGACCTATTCTTCCTACTCTTCACAGGTACCATTCCTCAGTAGTTGCCCACTCCTATTTTATTACTGAAATTTAGTACATGTTGAGCCTCTAGATTTGGAATGAAATAATACAATTTATAACCTTTTTTGGTCGGCACCATTGTGTCTAATGGAGATCCACCAGGACCTGTAGACTTTCTATGTGCTGGTCCTTTGAACCACTGACAAATATTGGTAAAAAAACGATTATGAGGTAACTAAACAGAAAGTTGAAGAAATCTCCGAATACCTGTTGTGGGGCATTAGTTCTGCTCCTGATGCTGAAAACATGCATGTCAACAACATTCTATAAATGGAGGATATTTTCAGACTGAAGGTCTGGGAAATTCTAAAAATAAACTGGCAAGTATTCCTACATGCAGCAGGCAGATGGTGTGTTGGGAAATAGCCTTGAAAACCCCCTCCTGACCTGCAGACAGGCCCTTCGCTAACGTGTATACATGTTGTCGGTACACTTGGCTATTATTATATCAAGCTTGGTTATCTCATTCGAATTGTTATCTCTCAATACTGGACATCAATGTACAGGATATGTAGGGCTCCGGGCTGTGAATGTAGTGTGAGGTATTGATGCCTTGGGCTGTATTTGTTGTGTTGGGGATGGGGTCTGGAGTGTGTTGGGGTCTGTAGTGTGTTGGGGTCTGTAGTGTGGTGGGACTGTAGTGTGTTGGGGTCTGTAGTGTGGTGGGGTCTGTAGTGTGGTGGGGTCTGTAGTGTGGTGGGGACTGTAGTGTGGTGGGGTCTGTAGTGTGGTGGGGACTGTAGTGTGGTGGGGACTGTAGTGTGGTGGGGACTGTAGTGTGGTGGGGTCTGTAGTGTGGTGTGTCTGTAGTGTGGTGTGTCTGTAGTGTGGTGGGGTCTGTAGTGTGATGGGGACTGTAGTGTGATGGGGACTGTAGTGTGTTGGGGTCTGTAGTGTGTTGGGGTCTGTTGTGTGTTGGGGTCTGTAGTGTGTTGGGGTCTGTAGTGTGTTGGGGTCTGTAGTGTGATGGGGACTGTAGTGTGTTGGGGTCTGTAGTGTGTTGGGGTCTGTTGTGTGTCGGGGTCTGTAGTGTGATGGGGACTGTAGTGTGTTGGGGTCTGTAGTGTGTTGGGGTCTGTAGTGTGTTGGGGTCTGTAGTGTGTTAGGGTCTGTTGTGTGTTAGGGTCTGTTGTGTGGTGGGGTCTGTTGTGTGTTGGGGTCTGTAGTGTGATGGGGACTGTAGTGTGTTGGGGTCTGTAGTGTGTTGGGGTCTGTAGTGTGTTAGGGTCTGTTGTGTGTTAGGGTCTGTTGTGTGGTGGGGTCTGTTGTGTGGTGGGACTGTAGTGTCTGTAGTGGGGTCTGTAGTGTGGTGGGGACTGTAATGTGGTGGGGTCTGTAGGGTGGTGGGACTGTAGTGTGGTGGGGTCTGTAGGGTGGTCGGTCTGTTGTGTGGTGGGGTCTGTAGTGTGTTGGGGTCTGTAGTGTGTTAGGGTCTGTTGTGTGTTAGGGTCTGTTGTGTGTTAGGGTCTGTTGTGTGTTAGGGTCTGTAGTGTGTTAGGGTCTGTGGTGTGGTGGGGACTGTAGTGTAGTGGGGTCTGTTGTGTGGTGGGGTCTGTGGTGTGGTGGGGTCTGTAGTGTGTTAGGGTCTGTTGTGTGTTAGGGTCTGTTGTGTGGTGGGGTCTGTTGTGTGGTGGGGTCTGTGGTGTGGTGGGGTCTGTGGTGTGTTAGGGTCTGTGGTGTGTTAGGGTCTGTTGTGTGTTAGGGTCTGTTGTGTGTTAGGGTCTGTGGTGTGGTGGGGTCTGTGGTGTGTTAGGGTCTGTTGTGTGTTAGGGTCTGTAGTGTGTTAGGGTCTGTTGTGTGTTAGGGTCTGTTGTGTGGTGGGGTCTGTGGTGTGGTGGGGTCTGTAGTGTGGTGGAGACTGTAGTGTGGTGGGGACTAGTGTGGTGGGGTCTGTGGTGTGGTGGGGACTGTAGTGTAGTGGGGTCTGTAGGGTGGTGGGGACTGTAGTGTGGTCTGTAGTGTGGTGGGTCTGTAGTGTGATGGGGACTGTAGTGTGGTGGGGTCTGTAGTGTGGTGGGACTGTAGTGTGGTGGGGACTGTAGTGTGGTGAGGTCTGTAGGGTTTTTGGGGACTGTAGGGTGGTGGGGACTGTAGTGTTATGGGGTCTGTAGGGTTGTGGGGACTGTAGGGTTGTGGGGACTGTAGTGTGGTGGTGTCTGTAGTGTGATAGGGTCTGTAGGGTTGTGGGGACTGTAGGGTTGTGGGGACTGTAGTGTGGTTGGGACTGTAGTGTGGTGGGGTCTGTGGTGTGATGGGGACTTTGGTGTGATGGGGACTGTAGTGTGGTGGGGACTGTAGTGTGGTGGGACTATAGTGTGGTGGGGTCTGTAGTGTGGTGGGGTCTGTGGTGGGGACTGTAGTGTCTGTGGTGGGGTCTGTGGTTGGGTCTGTAGTGTGTTGGGGACTGTAGTGTGTTGGGGCCTGTAGGGTTATGGGGACTGTCGTGTGATGGGGACTGTAGTGTGGTGGGGACTGTAGTGTGATGGGGACTGTAGTGTGGTGGGGACTGTAGTGTGGTGGGGACTGTAGTGTGATGGGGACTGTAGTGTGATGGGGAATGTAATGTGGTGGGGACTGTAGTGTGGTGGGGACTGTAGTTTGATTGGAACTGTAGTGTGGTGGGGTCTGTAGTGTGGTGGGGACTGTAGTGTGGTGGTGGGACTGTAGTGTGGTGGGGTCTGTAGTGTGGTGGGGACTGTAGTTTGATGGGAACTGTAGTGTGGTGGGGTCTGTAGTGTGGTGGGGACTGTAGTGTGGTGGTGGGACTGTAGTGTGGTGGGGACTGTAGTGTGTTAGGGCCTGTAGGGTTGTGGGGACTGTAGTTTGATTGGAACTGTAGTGTGGTGGGGACTGTAGTGTGGTGGGGACTGTAGTGTGGGGGGGTCTGGAGGGTTGTGGGGACTGTAGGGTTGTGGGGACTGTGGTGTAGTGGGGACTATAGGGTTGTGGGTCTTCAGGTTGGTGGGGTCTGTAGTGTGGTGGGGAGTGTAGTGTGGTGGGGACTGTAGTGTGGTGGGTCTGTAGTGTGTTGGGGTCTGTAGTGTGGTGGGGACTGTAGTGTGGTGGGGTCTGTAGTGTGGTGAGACTGTAGTGTGTTGGGGGTCTGTAGTGTGTTGGGGTCTAGTGTGGTGGGGACTGTAGTGTGTTGGGGACTGTAGTGTGGTGGGGTCTGTAGTGTGGTGAGTGGTGGGGACTGTAGTGTGGTGGGGTCTGTAGTGTGGTGGGACTGTAGGGTTGTGGGGACTGTAGTTTGATTGAAACTGTAGTGTGGTGGGGACTGTAGTGTGGTGGGGACTGTAGTGTGGTGGGGTCTGGAGGGTTGTGGGGACTGTAGGGTTGTGGGGACTGTGGTGTAGTGGGGACTATAGGGTTGTGGGTCTTCAGGTTGGTGGGGTCTGTAGTGTGGTGGGGAGTGTAGTGTGGTGGGGACTGTAGTGTGGTGGGTCTGTAGTGTGTTGGGGTCTGTAGTGTGGTGGGGACTGTAGTGTGGTGGGGTCTGTAGTGTGGTGAGACTGTAGTGTGTTGGGGGTCTGTAGTGTGTTGGGGTCTAGTGTGGTGGGGACTGTAGTGTGTTGGGGACTGTAGTGTGGTGGGGTCTGTAGTGTGGTGAGTGGTGGGGACTGTAGTGTGGTGGGGTCTGTAGTGTGGTGGGACTGTAGGGTTGTGGGGACTGTAGTTTGATTGGAACTGTAGTGTGGTGGGGACTGTAGTGTGGTGGGGACTGTAGTGTGGTGGGGTCTGGAGGGTTGTGGGGACTGTAGGGTTGTGGGGACTGTGGTGTAGTGGGGACTATAGGGTTGTGGGTCTTCAGGTTGGTGGGGTCTGTAGTGTGGTGGGGAGTGTAGTGTGGTGGGGACTGTAGTGTGGTGGGTCTGTAGTGTGTTGGGGTCTGTAGTGTGGTGGGGACTGTAGTGTGGTGGGGTCTGTAGTGTGGTGGGACTGTAGTGTGTTGGGGGTCTGTAGTGTGTTGGGGTCTAGTGTGGTGGGGACTGTAGTGTGTTGGGGACTGTAGTGTGGTGGGGTCTGTAGTGTGGTGAGTGTGGTGGGGACTGTAGTGTGGTGGGGTCTGTAGTGTGGTGGGACTGTAGTGTGGTGGGGTCTGTAGTGTGGTGGGACTGTAGTGTGGAGGGGTCTGTAGTGTGGTGGGACTGTAGTGTGGTGGTGACTGTAGTGTGGTTGGGTCTGTAGTGTGGTGGGACTGTAGTGTGGAGGGGACTGTAGTGTGGTGGGGTCTGTAGTGTGATGGGACTGTAGTGTGGTGGGGTCTGTAGTGTGGTGGGACTGTAGTGTGATGGGGACTGTAGTGTGGTGGGGTCTGTAGTGTGGTGGGACTGTAGTGTGATGGGGACTGTAGTGGGGTCTGTAGTGTCTGTATTTGGGTCTGTAGTGTGGTGGGGTCTGTAGTGTGGTGGGGTCTGTAGTGTGGTGGGACTGTAGTGTGGTGGGGTCTGTAGTGTGGTGGGACTGTAGTGTGGTGGGGACTGTAGTGTGGTGGGGACTGTAGTGTGGTGGGGTCTGTAGTGTGTTGGGGACTGTAGTGTGGTGGGTCTGTAGTGTGGTGGGGTCTGCAGTGTGGCAGGGTCTGCAGTGTGGCGGGGATCGTGGTGGGACTAATGATTTGTTCGTTCCTCTTGCAGCTAAGAAGACTGGGAAGCAGGTGTTTGTGAGCTGTAACCTGGCGTACGATCAGCTGACCATGCCCGTCGTGGAGAAGCGCATTACAGAGGAGATGAAGAAGAGGCCGGAGATGTTCTGAACCTTCCCAGAGACATCTGATGGTCTAAGTACAGGTAACTTTTGTACAGAAAACTAGTTTTCCACTATTGGAGAAACCTTAAGAACAATTGGATGATGTCACTCTGAGTTTATAAGACTGTGAAAAAAAAGATAGAAATAACTCCAGCAAGCTACAGTACCACAACTCCACTGGCGGATCCAGAGAGTGTGTGAGTGTGCAGGCATCTTCCTGAGGCAAGGGAGTTAACTGACTGTAAAAGTCAAGTTTCCACCTTTGCCGAACTAGGCTAGAATTATGGAGATATGTTTTCGCTGGAGTAACGAGTCTATCCATAGTCTAATCAAAATCGCGTTACGAACAAGACATCCGGTTGGTAAACTGCCAATCGGTCAATTGCTGGATTTGCAAAGCATGTGTACTGGAACAGCCAGCTCGGCTTTTAAGGGATACATTTCAAATCTTTTCATGTATTTAATCAAGGTGCTCACATGATTTGATGCACATTGCAAAGTAAGACTCGTTTTATTACAATATCGATCTTGATTATCGATCAAATCGTCTTGACTGTGCGACGCCAATTTGTTTGAAGCAAATGTGAGTGATATGAGAGGTGGAATCGGTCAATAAGAGGGACATAGAAGGGACGTAACTCCTAATAGCCACCGGTGACGCTACAATTGCGCCCAGAAATTCCTGCCAAGATCGACAAGGGTGGAAACTGGACTTTTATAATCAGTTATCTCCCTTGCCTCAGGAAGATGGTGTGCAGGAAGTGCATCGACAGATCATAGGTTTTCGTTCACTCCTGGATCTGCTGCACATGTGCAGTGTTCCCGCTGGCTTTTGAAACTGCCAGTGGACTGGCAACTCTAAATAATACCAGGCCCACCCAATTTTTGTCAGTCCCAACTTTGAACAAGTGAAAATTGTATGAAGTTACCTAGTTGTAATTCTTTCAACATCAGTTTCAATTAAATGTACTTTCATGGCTGACAAATTCAGTGACGTCATTTCTGAAGTAATTTGTTAAGATTCACACAAAGTTCAATCACAATTTTATCATTTTTTCTAAATATTTCACTTTGATTGAAGACTAAGTCACTACAAATAGATAATTAATCTCTAAACAAGCGAAATATTATTTCCTTGGACTAAAAATAGGCAGTGGGAAGCCCTGATGATAACAGGCAAGCTGACTTCTTTCTAAAAATTTACTTTTTGACTATCAACAATGTTTTGTTCAACAACAAAGATTTACACAGGGTTGGTTTGGTTGGTTTGTCCAGACAATCCAGTGATTAATATCATGAGCATCGATCTACGCAATTGGGATCGATGACATGCATCAACCAAGTCAGCGAGCCTGACCACCCGATCCCATTAATCGCCTTTTACGAAAAGCATGGTCGCCTTTTATGGCAAGCATGGGTTGCTGAAGATCTATTCTATCCCGGATCTTCACAGGTCTGAATATTCACAAGAATGAACAGTCCAAGCCTAATTTTACTGGTCAAAAACTGGTAATTACCGGTAAACAGGAACACTGTATTTACTAATATCATGATTGTCAGATCCTGCCCACTCACTAACTTACTCATCCTGAGATCTGTTTTGTAGGTTGTGGAGCACATGGTAATTCGTTGGAGATCTCCCAGACTGGTCAAGGGTGCCAGCATGCTTCCGACCCCTATGGATCTCAAGTAGACTGGGATGGACAAGAGAGGAGGACAGCCCATTCACACAAACAGGGGTGTTTTTGCAGTCACTTGCATTTGGTCCAGCAGATGATGAAAATGTGTAAATGTAGAATCTGTGCATTGGTACCATGGCACCCTCAAGACTAATTATGATTGTTGACGAACATGAATATGTGAATAAAGGTTTATATTGTAGAGATATACATTGTTTAGTTTATCGAGGCAATAATCAATACCAATACCCAAAAGGCAATCTCATTAAAATCATATCTTTGTTATCGCTACCGCTAAACAAAGATGTGAGGACATCCCATTATGGGTCACGTCAGACCGACCCTTCGCGAATTTTGACAGACCAATGGAGTGACTGACAAGAAGTTGACATTGGTCTAATCAAAAGGCAGCTCTTGTGTGCTTTACGGCATTAGTTTCAAACTGGCGACTACTCTACGAAACATTTTCGATTTCATAATTTGAAAACTGATCAAAAGAAAATTCTGGAATGGTTAATAGATGGCCTTTATTGTATGGATTCATGATGGCAATCACTGGATTGTCTGGTCCAGACTTGGTTATTTACAGACTGTCATCATATAGCTGGAATATTTCTGAGTGCGGCGTTAAACAACAAACAAACAAATTAATGCCTAACTCAGCAATAATCCAGCTACATATGACGAAAGTCTGTAAATACAAATCAACAATCCAGTGATTGCCATCATGAACATCAATCTAGGCAACTGAGATACAATGACATGCTAACAACCATTTCAGCCCAACCCTGATAGTCGCCTCTACGACAAGCATGAGGTGAGGTGAGGTGAAATGGGGTTTAACGTCGCGTCCAAGATTATTGCACTTATATAGCGACGTGCATGTACGTGTGTGTGTTTGTTTGGCTGCTTGTACTAGTCCGGACTGATGCCGATTTATAGTGCTAGCTCACTGAGATACCATGCCGCAGTGTAACATGAATATCCCACTCAGACACAGCATACTGACTCCGAGCCGACCAGTCCTTGTTTTAGCCCCTTAATGCCAGACAGGGTAACAACAAGTACCATCTTTTAACGTCTTTTGGTATGACGCGGCCGGTCCTAGACAAGCATGAGTTGCTGAAGACACATTCTAACACATGGGTGCATATGCTTTCAGTGATGTGTTTGCCTGGTCCCGGCACTCTTATTGCAGACCACCATGGTGGAACTGGAATATTGCAGACATTTTGGCATAGTGTTAAAGGATGCAGGTTGTGGATGTACATCTTCCCGTGGCAAGAGAGTTAATTCCAGCCTAGTTCGGCAAGGGTGGAAACTGGACTTTGATAGTCAGTTAACTCACTTGCCTTGGGGAGATGGTGGATGTAAGCCGCTCGGTGAGCCCAGGAACCGGGCACCTTACACCACTGGGCTACTTTGCCCACCATATTCTATTGCTGCTTTTCATTTCAGGCTTAAAAAAGAGAGAAAGAATTGGTGCTCAGGCAATGACTTATGAAAATATAGTTTGGGTGGTGTTTTTTTGTTGTTTGCTTGTTCAAACTAGCATGTAACGATTTAAACACTAGTGTTCCATCAACCTGGGAAATAGGCTCTCTACATAAACAAGCATTCAAACTCCTATTGCCGCCATGACCATAACACGAGATGTACAGTGAAGCAATGTCAAGGGAAGTAACTGCGTGCTATATTGGATCGCATTGTGTTAAGTATTTGTCTTTTTTAAGAAAATTGAAAATGGAAATAAAGATGCGGCAGACTTTGTGATGAAGCAGCGGCGCCTGAGAACCAAGACTATTATTTTTTTTTGCCTTAGAAATGACTCCATCTGAAAGATCATCTTTCTTGTGCAATAATGAAACAAAGTTGTTAAGAAATAAAATGGTATTTATTTCTAAAACTTCACATGGCATTTGTACTTGACAGTATATATAAAACAGCAATGGCAAGTTGTGTAAATCCAGGCATCATTATTCTGTTCAAATTATTGATATGCTGGGAAAACAACAGTAGATTTATCACGTTTTATCACATTGTGATTTTTTAGAAGCACACATCATCGAAATTCCCCTTCATCCTCGATTGCCTGGTTTCCTAAATCTCTGTTCTATTACAGTGGACCCATTTGCCACTAAATTTCTCTTGCTCAAAGGGGCGGTCGGGTAGCCTAGTGGTTAAAGTGTTAGCTCGTCACGCCGAAGACCCGGGTTCGATTCCCGACATGGGTACAATGTGTGAAGCCCATTTCTGGTGTCCCCTACCGTGATATTGCTGGAATATTGCTAAAAGCACCGTAAAATGATACTCACTCACTCACTCTCTTGCTCAAGAGCTTAAAATCAATAACCAATCAAATGCCTCTTATAAATGTGAAGTTGGCTAAAATCTACTCTAAATCTTCCAAGCGAGTCCTTGATGTATTTGATCAAATCAGACTTTCATAAATATGAGTGAGTGAGTGAGTTCCGTTTAACGCTGCTTTTAACATTATTCCAGTTATATCACTGCGTGACAGCTTAATGCTGGAGGAAAGCCCGAAGTGATGTAGGTCTCCAACGTTTACCACTTCGGTGAAACCCATGAACACGTGTATGGTGCTGACAAACCTAGAAACATAATCATAAATATGAACTTTTAGCTGGATAAGAGGTTTCCCCAAGAACTAAGATAGGAGGGAAGTCATATGGCAAGATGGTTGTTTTGAGATGGCACACAAAAGTTGACGCCGGTACTGATGATATCGCGGTTTGTTTAAATCATAAAAGATGGATTGGACGGCTGGTTTTAGTGTTGTGTTATCTGAATCAGACTCAAAACAAAACAGAGTGGCCTAGCGCCAGGCAGGGTAACAACAAGTACCGAAGTATGATCTTTTATTGTCTTTTAATATGACGAGGCCGGGTGGTTTTAGTGTTGTGTTTTTTAATCAGACTCAAAACAAAAGTATGGTACAGAGTGGCCTAGCACCAGGCAGGGTAACAACAAGTACCGAGGTACCATCTTTTATTGTCTTTTAATATGATGAGGCCGGGGTGTCAAACCCCGGACCTTTCACTCTCTGGGCGGATGCTCTAGCAATAGACCATGGAGGCAGTCACACATGAACAGGCCACTGACTAGACACTCATATTCATATGAACACAATTGTATATAAATACATGCAGAAAAGGATGTCATCTTCAGGCCATTTTCTACAATTTTGCTTTGAATCTGATCATCGGGCATGATGTAGAGTTGTTTGAATTCACAGATGCAGGAACACGACATGTCTACTTCTGTATCTTCCTGGGGAGGTATTCTCTGTTGTCTCCCATCGACTGCCATTCATAATAGGGCACCTGTGAACAAACACGAGCAAAAACATTACACTCAACCAACGCGATATCTCTCATTACACTCAACCAACACAATATCACTCAGCCATTTATAAGGTTCGACAAGGTTCTCACTCCATTAGACTTTATGTCTTTCAGGGGGCATGGGTGGCCCAGTCGTCTAAGGCCCCGTGATTCGCTGTGCAGAGTTGCATCCCTTCGGCACGCCAGAAACCTATGATTGTGGGTTCGAATCCCGTTTCACCCCAAATATGTTTCTAGGTTTATCAGCACCATACCCCTGTTCGTGGGTTTCACCGAAGTAGTAAACGTTGCGACCTGCATCACTTCGGGCTTTCCTCCCACATTAAGCTGACACGCCGCGATATAACTGGAACACTGTTAAAAGCAGCGTTAAACCAAACTCACTCACTCACCATATCTTTCATACAGAGTACTCGTCATCAAAGGGAAACCACACTCACTATCTATATAAATTAACTGCCCTTGACCTGACAAGAAAAGGTCACATGGTCAATGCAATAGTGAGAGTGAATATGGTTTTACGCCGCTTTTAGCAATATTCCAGCAATATCACGGCGGGGGACACCAGAAATGGGCTTCACATATTGTACCCATGTCGGGAATCGAACCCGGGTCTTCAGCGTGACGAGCGAACTCTTTAACCACTAGGCTACCCGACCGCCCCTCATTGCAATAGCATGCAAACACCCTGCTTGTGTTTCAACTGAAATAAACGTAAATGGTGCGTTGTTTCATGTAACATTTTGTACGGAATAATTGCTAACCTATCATTTGTTATTGACACTGTTAGGCACAAGTCATAATCGGTAAAACAATGTTTCAGACATGTATGCTAGTATCTGTTGTTTGTGTTTGGAAAATACAAGTGGAGACCACCCAATTTTGAGGTAGGAAACGATACAGTAGACCCATACTGTTGCCTCTTTTTTCTCTACATGCCATCTTTTGGCCACCATTTTACCTGTCCTGAGCTTAGACAGGTCCATCCCTGTCTTAAATGTTTGTCGTAAACTTACATAACCATCATAACATAACATAGACAGCTCCAAGAATAGACTCAGCTAAGATTTTTTTCAGGACGACACCTTAATGTCAATTTTAGAGCTAAGACAACTTCGTGAAGAGGCCACCAGTTTGGTCTCATGTCATTATATCATCAGATCATGCATTTTGTCTGGAGATGAGGTACAAGTAACTCCACCTCAACTGACAGGATGGGTTGTTGCAAGACTTTGTCAATATTACTTTGTGATACAGAATTACATATCTACCAGAACATGGAAAGGCATATTGTGTTGTGGGGTAATTTCACGATGCATCGTTACACACTCTTGATACAACACATACAGGGATAACTTTGTAGCCAAGGATTTCCAGGTGGCGCTGTTTGCTGGTCTTGTCGTGGCCCAACGTGTAGCTGTTCAGGGGATAGCTGTCCTTCCCATACCACAGTATAGCAACTCTGAAGTCAGTGGACAGTAATAATATACAACAACCTTGAAAAAACAACATATACTTGAGATGATACTGTCAAAAATTTACTTTGGGTTTTGACGGTGGAGTCAATTTTGAGATAAACATACAATGTTTCTAATGTAGAGCTATGCTACCTGTAGATTTAATGGAACTAAATTGAATTTGGAAATGAAAACAACTTGAAAAACAACCTTAGATTGAAAGAGCTGATTTGACAACTGCATCACTGTGGAAGCTACTATTTGTAGAAAAGAACTTATTTTTCAATAATTGTCAGACGGCATTTTTAAATAATCATAATGATAATGATATGTTCAGTTATAGGTAACAAAATGCAGTTTCATTCACTACAATATTCGAAGTATGTGTGGCAATAGGTGTTGAAAAGAAAACTGAAAGGAAATCAACTCAAAGAGTGTTATTGTAATTTGAAACCTCTGATTGACCAATCAAGCTCGAGTATTTTCCAAATTCATGGTAGAGTAATAAATATTCCAATAATAGGGTAAGAAAGCCATTATTTGAAAAATAATTAAAACAACAAAGAAAATCCAAGTGTAGAAAATATGATGCTGGTTCTGAACAAGGGGGATAACTCCACTGATATTCTGATGAGTGATTATTAAATTTGATGAAATGAAATAATTTTGCTATTTCATATAAACCACAAAAATTCTTTTAAAGTACTTTGTAGTATAAAAAATGACTGGAAAAAAATTGATTCAAATTGATTGAATCTCTTAAATAACCAATGCCTTCAGAACTAAACTAAAGTCTCAACAGACTTCACATGACTTAAAAAATTGAAAAGACTTGATGAGTTGTCCTGTATACCTCTGATATTCTCGGTCTTCACCATCTTCAGGGGATGAGTGTCTCATAGGCTGACCACTGGAATCTAGCAACACCTCAAAATCTGAATTACAAAAACTGGCATATTACTTGATGTCTAAACATGACGACTCATGTCCGAGTGAGGTTTGTTTTACACATTGGGCTTCACTTATTGTTGAGAATCAAACCCGAAAGTTAAGTATGACAAGTATACACTTTAACCACTAGGCTACCCTACCAACCCTACCAATGATTTTGAAACAAACATATCACATGTCCTCAGTCTTGCAAAAAATGCTGAGAGTTGAAGGTTCTTGTTTGGAGTTTTATGAAACTGTACTACAGCGGTCTGTAAATAATCAAGTCTGGACCAGACAATTAAGTGATTGATAGCATGAGCATCGATCCATGCAATTGGGATACGGTGACATGCATCAACCAAGTCACCCAGCCTGACCACCTGATCCTGTTAGTCGCCTCTTACGACAAACGTGGTCGTCTCTTACGACAACCATGGGTTGCTGAAGACCTATTCTAACCCGGATCTTCACTGGTGTGCAGGCCTGGTGATTAATGCTTTGGTGAAACATAAGCAACACAAATGTGGGATTCAAACCCATGATCATAGGTTTCCGGCACGCCTAAGGGACGCAACTCTGCACAGCTAACTGCGTTACCTTCCACAACTTGTCCACCAATACCTCCTGATGAAGACATGTGAGAAAAACAAAATGGTTACCGGAACGCGAAAAACAGATTGGTTTCTTAATTGGAAACAAAAACACGTTTGTGTCTAAGGCGTCATGGTGTCCGTACCGAGGCAGTGATGGTAGGGCGTGTAGACCTTGGTGTTGTAGTACTCCCTTCCTCCCACGGTACCTTTAACCATTGACTCCAGTCTCCGTGGATACCGGTTGTAGTCTACAACACATACACATTTCATGATTTACAGAAATCAGAAGTATTCGTCCTGTTTATGAATTCATCATCTTCCATCTTTATTAACGAGTAGTAAGTAATCTGTTTTAAGCAGTGTATTATCTTGTATCGATAGAGAAAAAACGTATCGTCGCATTAAAACTCATTTCCCCCCACTAAAGTCAGCTCTATTCCAGCTGCATCATGGCAATCAGTACACGACTGGAGCAACACATCCACACTGTCAGGCCTAGATGACACACCATCAACCTGTCCACATTGTGACCACCTGGCGAGTCAGCTCCTGTACCATTCCAACTTTATAAAATTAGAGCAATGTATCCGCATACAAATCGTATCGGGATACGTATTGTTTCGCGACCCCACCGTATCGTTACACCTCTACAAGCCTGACCAACCGATTGGTCAAGTCTCCTCTTGTGACCAGCATGCCTTAAAGGGGATCACTTCTCACCCAGAATCCCCATCGGGATGTCCCGCATCTGTAGTTTGTACTTTGCTACTCACGACTTTCATACTGGACGTAGAAGTCCTCCTGAAACCAGGGGATGTCCTGCATCTGTAGTGTGTACTTTGCTACTCACGACTTTCATACTGGACGTAGAAGTCCTCGTGGAACCAGGGGATGTCAAGGTGTGGGCAGTCAAGCACAAGGTGTCGGTTCAGCAGCATCATTGAAGACTCGAGACTTTTCTTTGCACCTGAAGGGGTCAAACAAAGTTTTGTTTGTTTGTTTAACTCCCTTGAGAGCGTTAATGAAGTCAGGTATTGTGTATAACATGCTTTGATGAGTGGAATTGTTATTAATCATGTGATTTGTTTTTTGTTTAACGCTGCATTCAGCAATAATCCAGCTATATGACGGCAGTCTCTAAATAATCAAGTTTGGACCAGACAATCCAGTGAATGACATGAGCATCAACAGTAGAGGACGTAACGTGTACCGGAGACGGCTCTCCCATCTCGCGTACAAGTGACCACCTGAGAGGGGTCACTCGTATGCGTGACGGTCTGTCAGTGGACCATGGATTTCTGCATGTTGCACATAAATGTCTCTACAAGTGTTATTTGTGAAAATAATAAAACAAAATTACGTAGAGTCATTGATAATCATACAAGTTATCGTATGACATGAAAAAAATGTCATAAGAAAAATAATAAACGGTCAAATTCGGAGAAAAATGTGAAAAAAATGAGCATCCATCCATGCACTTTGGATACGATGACATGCATCAACCAAGTCAGTGAGCCTGACAACCCAATCCTGATACTCTTACAACAAGCATAGTCGTTTTTTACGGCAAGAATGAGTTGCTGAAGACCTATTCTGACCTGGATCTTCATGGGTCATTCAGACAAAGTGATGGACGTTTAACATTTCTAATGCTGCTTATAACATCACCCTGTCACTCATACCACGACCATGTCTAGAGCCACTGGGAACAGACAGAGGTTGTTTCTTAATTACCATGAGGCCATCATTAAAAGTACCCTTGGGAAATGTAGATATGCATGCTGATTTCATTTCAAGGTGAAACTTCATGATGTTAGACACTTGTCAATCTCCAGAGGCAATCTGGCCCATGTTCACAATTTGTTCAGGCATTGACCACATCATGTACTGTCAAGCATGATATCAATGCGTCAACAAGTTCATGCGAGTGTGACCCCTGGTCTAGAAAGTGTCATGAAATTAATGCCAGTGGCCCTGTCTTTGAACTTTTAAAACAAATCAGCCAACGACAACATCATGACTGCGGACTTAAAAATTCCATTTATGACCATGGTAGACTGCCCAGATTAATTCTACCAGTGATCATGATGATGCTAGGAACTAGACTAGCCTGATTTGTCGACTGTAATAATCAATAATAATTATTATCTTAAATGATTTCTGGGAATAGTAATCAATGGTAAGAAATGGGGAACAATAAATGTCAATCATGTGTCCAAGATGGATGGAGCACATTGCCAGTGTAACCATGGTAACCAGTGTGCCAAATAAGGAGGTCCTGGGGTCCTAAGGGTCTACAAATCGTCTAAGGATCCCTAAATCTTTAATATTTAAGACTAAAGCTATGACAAGGACCCTTTGCTTAGTTTTGAACACAGGTAACTAGGACTGGCTAAGAAGATCGATAATCACAATTATCGTCAATGGGAAGAAATATTAACGATTATCGATATGAAACGGTTGGCATTGACAATAACTTACAATAACTTGTCAATAATTGACAAATAAACTATTGTGATGAAATAAAGTTTAGATTTACCGAAACAGACTTGTCATTGTCAATAAAAGGCAATTGTCGAAGACGGAAAGCAGGTGTATTTGTAAGATCTCAAATGTCCACAAAGTAATCTATGCATAAATGTCTCACTGCTCTCCAGTGGCGTGAAATCTGTTGATTTCCTTTGGACTTTGTTGCATATTGTTTCTTGACAGTTCCTTCTCCAATATTTATTGATAATTGATCTATATTTAGTTAGTTTTTTGGTTTGGTTTGTTGTTTAACGCCGCACTCAGCAATATTCCAGCTATATGACGGCGGTATATTTAGTTAGTGATTATCGGTCTCTATCATGTCTATGATCTATATCGATAGCATCCTTAATGGTACCACTTACCCTCTCGCATCTTGTCAAACATGTGCAGATAGTCCAGAGTGAACATTTGGCAGAGATGCACCTCGGGGTAGATCTGGTACCGACAGAGGTTCAGAGCCAGAGACACCTGCACATGAACATCATTCTTCCGAAGAGCAGTATCCATCATCTCGCAGCACACTCCACTGAAAGCCTCTATGTTCTTTGGGTTATACCCAACGACAACAAACCAGTCCAGTATCCTGCTAGCGATACTAGGGCTAATTTTCCACCCATAGTCAAGGAAATACATTTCCAGATTCTCCGACACCTGGGGATCGTAGTACAGAACTTGTTCAAGGGTGTCCAGAAGAGGGGAGACCTGCGTCGAGGTCAGGTACTTGGTCACCTGACCGAAGTGTGGCATCAGTACTTGGAGAGGCGTCATATCTTTGGTAGAGCTGTCAAGGTACAATCCCTGAATGACTCGGTTGATCATATCAAACTCTCTCACAGTCTCCAACTTTTCCGATAATTGTTTCTGAAGACTCAGGTGGAGTTGAAGCACCAGGTTCGGATTTTGTTTCACAAATGGTTGATTTTTTATCCGGATCATTATTGAACATATCTGTTCTGGATGCAACCAAGAAATATTGGCTTGTAAATTTCTGACAAACTTTTCCGGCAAGTCATCCCTGAGATTTGAAAGGATAATTAGCGTGCTGGAGTACATCAGTGCCCGTCTAAAGAGAACTTCATCTCCCTGAAGCTGAATAAGTTTCTCCACAAGCTCGGTTCGAATAGTTTCATTTTCAGCTTCCCTCCTTACTAGGAGTCGGAGAACTTTAAGAAACCTTGACTTGAAAGTAGCCAGATTGTCAAACAGAAGCAAAGATTGTTTTTGAAAGGCCATCATTACATTCTTGTCATCTATCTCCGCGTAAAGGAATATTTCCGCTAGAGAAGAGAGAGCATAGACATCTGCATCATTCATTTTACTCAACAGCAGAGGATATATGCGAGTTTTCACTCGATGAGGTGTATGAGCGGTGAAAGACTGACACACTTGCACGATATCCCGGATTTCTATCGTGGCTGATGATGATTCAAAGAGCTCCATGCTCCTTTTCTGCAATTCGGTGGCTATTGCTCCGTCAAACCTATGAACTGACTTTAAACATCTGCAACAAGATGCAATATCACCAGAGTCAAGTCTATCAATATGATCTGGAAGTTGACAAATAACATAGTCCACCAACTGAAATATCGTCTTTTTTGGCATGGAATGCATTAGGAAAAGACGCTTCGCATATCTAAGAAGATCTCCTAAAATGTCAGAGTTGGACACATTTGGTAACTTTTGAAGCATATCGACGACACTGAACAGTACTCTGCTGGACAGTTGTGAGCTCAACCAAGGAGTCTGAGAGATGTGAAACAAACACATATTCCTCACAAGCTGCTCATCAACCTTTTCGAACCCTTCGTCGAGCAGTTCTTGTATTCTGGACATCATTTTTTTAAGTATTTCCTCATCTACATCATTCACACTCCTCAAGCCCGCAGCAAGTGTGGCTAAACTTTCAATGTCCATTTGTCCTATCCTGGTTTGAATCCTATCAAGAAGCTTGCTCACAACCTCGTTTTTCTCCATGCCCAAATACTTCAGATGCAACAACAAACTTAGGCAGTCCTCATGAGGAATCTCACACGATCGTAGAGTCAATTCCCTCAGAAACTCTTGCATAGTCATATGATCACGCACAGGACCGAGGAACGCTTTCACTTCCTTATTTAAAACTATCTGCATCAATGTTACATCCGGGGAGTGGGAGTAGAGCCAAGGAACACTATACAGCTCTCTGTATCTGGCTTTTTGTATGGCTTCAATGATACTGGAGAAGTCCTTCCCCGTAAGCCTACCTGCTTTCAGTTCTCTTTGAACATAATGAAAGATTCTTTCTATTTCAAAATTAGGATCAGTTGTTACTGCATCACTTGTAGCTTCCCTGAAAACATGTTGTTTCTGAAACACAGACGCCTGGTTAGCTGTCACCTTTTGCCTTTTCTGTAGTGTTGATACATTTGCAGTTTGATTTGTGTTGATTCCAAAGGGAGACAATTCTTTCGTAATATTAACGTGACATTGTGACAGTCTGTATCTTCCACACATCCTTATCAGAGCTTTGATATCGGAACTCCGATGAAGGCGACACAGGCAGTTCATGTCGCCTGAGTAGAGGAGTTGACCCTTCAGGCAGTGGGTGGGGCTAGCTTTCAAGGAGGGGGTTATTGTTTGGGTGGAGGGAGCAGGACCCTTGTATGGAACTCTGCATTAATGCCTCTTACACCCCCCAGCACAAACCCCTCTCACTGTACCTGCAAAATAAGATGACATATATTAGGGCTGCAATGAATACACTATGAGGCGAATACGATTCATATAATGAATATAGGGTTACAAATACGAATATTAATTCACAAATACAATAACAAGTCAGCAGTTGATGTATTACTTGTTAAATTAAGTGAAACAATAATAACATAAATTACTTGACATGGTTTGTTAATTATTAATATATTATACATTTATATACTGCACTTATCCAGGTACAAGGATCTGCTCAAATGTGACAATGACCAGTCACCACAATACTGTCAAATTAAATAGTATAAGAGTGTTGTCTTTGAAGAAATCTATGCATATAATATCTCCATTTGGATATTTTTAGGCACATGATTGCATATTCATAAATATTTAATTCTAGTTGCCGTGAATAATGAATTCAATTCATGTATTCATGAATGGAAATGGTTCGATTCACCAAAAACGCAAGTGAATCGTAACAGACCTGACATATATACTAAAACCTTCGGGAAAATGTTTTCCACTATAAAATTCTCACACACTAAACACATGATAAATATGTACCTTCATTTACATAATATGAAATAAGTCAGTGAATGGGTTGGGTTTAACACCGCTTTGAACAGTATTCTACTCAGCTTAATATGGGACAAAAGCCTGAAGTATGGTGCCAACAAAACCCGAAACATAATCAGGGCAAACTGAGATTTGAACCCATGATCATAGGTTTCTGGAGTGCCAGAGGGACGCAACTCTGTACAGCACATGGAACAAAAATTGTAGCTGTTGATGAAACTGTGAGAGTTTATCAAACTAATACATCGGGTGAGAAGACTGATACTAACTGGAATAGTTTGTCCTTGTTTTTTGCACAGGCAAGTTTGCATACATGAAGGTAATGCAGGTAATAATCAGGTTAAGTATCGTATACAATTTCATTGTAATTCGTTCATCATAATTATAATAAATTGTGTAGTTACTGTGATAAGATTTAATACCAGTAACTTTACAAGTTGCAATTTACCATGTCTGCAGATCTGTACTTGTTAAATTCGCTCTTTGCCTTTTTAACAGACAGCTTTCCCATACCATCAGTGGAATGGCAATTATGATACACTGTATGAAAGAAATTCTAAATTGATTTAGAGAGAGAAAGGCACCAGAAATAGATGCACATGTTGTGCACTTGTGGAGAATGGAACTTTGGTTCTCCGGATTGCCGAGCTTGGTCTTAAACCACTAGGCTACCCTAATGCCCCTCAACTCGTTAGATCAACACTTCCCGTTATACAAATATGAGACCGGGGACCGAGGCCATGGTTTCGTCACCATGGCTACGAATATACTAATTTCCACCACTTACATTTTGAGAAGTGTTTCTCTACGGTCCTTCACTGCTCGAAGTGACATTCAAAACACGTGATAGTGTTTATGGAATATGACGAGTTTATCGACTGGTAAGTAATCTTCAAAGGGAGACAATTTGAAAGATGTCTCGCGTATAAGGCTAACTGAGCCAAAACGACAAGGAAACAGTGTCTCCTCACAGATGATTCAAACCATCGTGATTAGTTCACTTAGTCCATACAAAACGAAGTATTAATTAAATGTTTCGTGTTCCAAGTGTTCATTACATCCTCATCATAACTGCATTTTAAATGTAGCATTAAGCGTGAGTACCGAGCTATTGGAGTGGTAGTCGATAAAATCATTGCCGTCTTGCCTTTCGCAAAAAGCTCCAACTAGCGCGTGCTAACACCCGCCGTGTTCTTGAACCTTTAGGAACGCTGTTTGGAGCAAGCACACTTCCCGAACAGGAAGTATTTTAGAGTGACATCCCTTGGAAATATGGCGACGTCCTTGGTGTCACTCGTGCAAAGTAATGCAGTAAAATTACTTGCAAACAGGGCCAGCGTTACCTACCAAACTGTACGATTCCGTCGTGCGAAGAGGGCCTATGGAAAAAGTTTCGAAAATGCAAGAAGTTACGAAGACAGGATTGCAGGTATAACATAGGAGATCCAGAGCTCCCCCCCCCCCTTTCGATACCAAATGTATAGTTTGTAGACAATTGCAAGTGACAATCACCCACAATATAGCTGGAATACAGTTCAAAGCAGTATTATACCTAGATCACCCTCTCACTCATCGCGTCTAAGGCCAAGATTCGATTTCCAGCATGGGCATGATTGGTCTGTTTGCAGCGTGGTATACATGGTGCGATCCATTGATGTATCAGTGCATTGCAAATTTACACATGACGATGAGATACACGTACAGCATGCACCATTAGTTCTATATCTATTTACAAGGGGAGTAGTGCACTTTACCGGGTGCACTGTTTCAGATCCAATTAGGGCTGTGGGGGCTTAAACGTGCTTCGCCGGTAAAATGTGCTTGGCTACATAAGGTATTAATTAGCTGACACTCTACCACTGGACCACCAGCACTATCACATGTAATCAGTGCTTGTTTTAACAAATTAAGCAAGAAATGGTTGACAGCAACATATCCTCTTGTCAGCCTTGGGGGCGGTCGGGTAGCCTAGTGGTTAAAGCGTTCGCTCGTCATGCCGAAGACCCGGGTTCGATTCCCGACATTGGTACAATGTGTGAAGCCCATTTCTGGTGTCCCCCGCCGTGATATTGCTGGAATATTGCTAAAAGCGGCGTAAAACCATACTCACTCACTCACTCTTGTCAGCCTTGATGCATGGAGAATGTCAAGCACAATAGAAGGCTCAATGTAAAATAAATTTGCTTTGAAAATAAGTACAATATCAATGGGAAACATGATACCTATTGTTTCAGAGCTGAAAAGTCAAGAACCAATATTGAATCAAGGTATAAACATTGGGTTTCCTCAAAGAACAGCCAGTTTCAACCCTGACCATCTGCAAAAGGTCTGGCTGAAGAAGAGACAAGGAAAAGAACAGCAAGCTCGGAAAAGAGAATGTAAGAATACATATTTTCAGCTGACCTGACTGAAAGTCAACAGTAGAGGACGTAACGTGTACGCGAGAGTGGCGAGACGGCTCTCCTGTCTCGCGTACAAGTGACCACCTGAGAGGGGGTCACTCGTATGCGTGACGGCCTGTCAGTGGACCGTCACACACAAAAATTATGCACAAAAATGTCCCTACAAGCGTTATTTGTGAAAATAATAAAACAAAATTAAGTACAGTTATTGATCATTCTACTAGTTATCAAATGACATGACATGACACGTTACGTCTGCAACTGGTCAAGTGAGCTTACATCATGGCATTTTGTCCATCCGTCGTTATCTTGTGCATTTTGGACATTCATCTGAAACTACAGGTCCTACGGTACTGAAACTGTGAATAAATGATGCCAGCCAAGGTGTCTTGAACTTTTGCTCATAAAATTCCGATCCGATTTTAAACATGATTTTAAACATATTGATAATGTCATTTTTGACCAACTCATTTCTGCGCATATCATTAAGAAGTTTGAAATGCAGCAAATGTGTGGCTTTTGGAAAAACATATAACTCCATTTTATGGCATATTTTGATTATTTTCTCAGTACTTTTTTCACTTTCTCTTATTCATATTTTAATAGTGTAACTGCATTTTCAACATCTCCTCTGAAACTACAAGGCCTAAGGAGCTTTATCTTGCCCTTGCCTTTTCAAAACTTTTCTGTGCTGAAACAGACTTGCTTGGGAGAGGACTATCGCACCTATTGATAAAACAAAATCAACATCTGGGTTCGGAAAACGGTTGAGTACTTGCATTACTATGTTTTTTGTTCTGTGACAGTGATTATCTCCTTGGAGGATGTGAAAGCTAAATGGCAGGAAGAACAAGGAAGCAAGCATGTCCACCAGATAGCGACACACTACGGCATTTACCAGGACATGTTTGACCATGCTTTCTTCCACCCAGCGACAGACCTCGACATCAGCTACGACTACGATGACGACTTTGTCACAGTGGTCTGCACAGGGAACAAGATACCACCAGCAGATGTAAGATGTCCGATAAATTCATTATTTCATAATATTATGTCAATGATGATGATAATGTTGAGGGCACGGATGGTCCAGTCATCTGAGACTCCGCAATTCGCTGTGGAGAGTTGAGTTCCTTGTCCCAGAAACCATGGGTTTGAATCACATGTTTTCCCTGCAGGAAAAGTGATGCAGGACTCAGACATTTACCACTTTGGTGAAACCCACAAACACGGGTATAGTGCTGACAAACCTAGAAACATAAACAGGCCGAACTGGGATTTGAACTCATCATAAGTTTCTGGTGTTTCCAAGGGACGCAACTCTACATAGTGAATTGATATTGTGTTATAACATATGGATTGATATTTTTGTATGATATTTTTACTATTACAATTTACATACGTATCATGATGAGTACATTTGACCTGCTTGCACAAAGGAGTTTTGAGGTTGAATTGTTGGTGGTGTTGTCCAGGCTGCAGTGTGCCCTCATGTGACCTACCAAACTGATGACAAGACCCTGTGGACTCTGGTGATGTCCAGCCCTGACGGTCATCTTCAGGACGACGACAAGGAGTGTCTGCACTGGATGGTGTGAGTATCGGACACTGGATAATAATTATGATAATAGGCCATTTATATTGCACATATTTCCACACCACTTAGTGACATGCTCAAAGCGCTATTATTACCCAGGTCACTGGATCAGTGTGTACTTAAGAATCATTCTCAGCTCCCTGGGGAGAATACAACCCAAGCTGCCTGTGAGGCGCTAGAAGGTTAACAACCACATTACCATCTCATCCTACCAGGTACCCATTCACTGCTGGGTGAACAGAGGCACATTTCGAATAAAGTCACTTGCCCAAGGAGACACCACATGTGGTACATGTGCTTCAGTGTGGGGCATGACCGAAGCCCTAGAAACTCTCAGGAGCCAAGCTCCTGAAACGCGGTCACCCATCCAAGGACTCTCCGCGACCAACTATGCTTAACTTCATCTGATTTGTGACAAGTGTGCTGTGCACAGGACCACATGCTGAGGTCTACCTTCAATAGCCCTCAATCGTTAGACTCGTTGACTTGCGTGTGATCGCACCCCTTGTGGAATGCTCATGTTATCAATCCCTGCTTTTTCAGATCAAGACTACTATTTACTACTTTGTGATATAACTTGAGTCTTAAGGACTGGGGTCTTAAACAACACACAAAACAAAGACAGACTTGCAACCATTCTCACAACTGTCTCAAGTTGTCAAGCATAATTAGCTGATTATGCTTGATATGTTGTTTGTATAAATGTACATCACATGCATCCATTGTTACAGTGCTAACATCCCAGGTAATGATGTAGAGAAAGGGGAGGTAATCTGTGACTACATGCAGCCCTTCCCTCCTAAGGGCACTGGACATCTCCGCTATGTGTTCATTCTCTACAAACAAACAGAAAGACTTGACCTGAGTCGTATACAGAAGCCACCAAGATGGTAAGAATTAGGGCTTCAAGTGCTGATACAGCTTTTAGAAAAAATCAGGGATACAGATTTGGCTTTGTAAATTCTTGTGTAGTAATAATGTTATTGTGTTGAAAACATGTAACTAAATGGGTAACATATGGTGTTTAATACTCATTTGTTGTTCTAAGGGGACTGGATAAAAGGGGCTGTATTTGGACAATATTCATGATCCGCTGTGTAAGTTGTCTTAAATTGACAAGCCCGGGTTAGAATAAGTCCCAAGCAGCCATTTCTTGTCAAAATTGATTTGCTGGGAAAACAACAGTTGATGTATCATGTTTCTATCTATCATATTGGGATTTTTTTAGAAGCACACAACCTCGAAATTCCCCTTCATCCTGGATTGCCCAGTGTCCCATATCTCTGTTCTATTACGATAAATACAGTGGACCCACTTGCCACTAAATTTCTGTTGCTCAAGAGCTTGAAATAAAAAACCAATCAAATGCCTTCTTCTAAATGTAAGGTCGGCATAAATCTAGTCTAAATCGTCCAAGTGATTCCTTGATGTATTTAATCAAATCAGACTTTCATGAATATGAACTTTTAGCTGGAAAAGAGGTTTTTCCGAGCATTAAGATGGGAGGGAAGTCATGGGACAAGATGTCTTGTTGTTTAAATGAGATGGCACACAAAAGTTGACTCCAGTACTGATGATACTGGGTTTGTTTCAATCATGAAATTGGACGGCTGGTTTTAGGGTTGTGTTATTTGAATCGGACTCAAAACAAAAGTATGGTACAGAGTGGGTCAGTGCCCTGCTCATGATGTCAATCACTGGATTGTCTGGTCCAACAGACCGATGTTTGGAATATTGCTGAATGAGGTGTTAACAACCATGGAGTAGTCTCCCTTTAAGGAATATGATTCTCACTTTCTCAGTTTTGAAACCAGCATGGATGATCATCTGTGAGTTGATTTACTGTGTGGTTGTCAGGAGGAAACTGTGCAGTCTGTTTCTGTTTCAGCCTCTCTCTTCAGGAGAGGACATTCAGCACTCTCAGCTTCTACTCGGAGAGACAGGACATTCTGACGCCTGCAGGGCTGGCTTTCTTCCAGTCAGAGTGGGACCCGTCCGTCCAGGACTTCTTCCGAAATAAACTAGGTAGCTGACAACTCAGATATTCTCTATACTTCTGTCAATAGATGTTGACCTTCTGTGGGGATTCTTGGTTCCAATATGTCCCTGGGGAACCAGTGTTTAACCTTGGGGAGATTCTGGGTTAGAATAGGGCCCCAGCAACCTGTGCTGAACCTCATGGGGATTTCATGAGTTTGAAAAGGTCTTGGGCAACCTATGCTGAACCTCGTACTGATTGTGGGTTAGAATAGGTCCAAGCAATCTGTGCTGAAGCTCATGGGGATTATGGGTTAGAATAGGTCCCCAGCAACCAATGCTAGCTGTGCAAGGATTAAATGTATTCAGGTGTCCTAAATTCATGTTTTACAAATTTATCGCCCTTGCTCCATGCTTTTCAACTTTGTGCATACTGTGTGAAATGGAGACTTGTTTCTCGAAATTACTGAAGTTACATGAATGAAACTTTGCAAGCATATCTGAGAGATACTTTTTAAGACTGAGTTGGAAAATTGGTGACATGAATTATTTTGTTCTAGAATTACATGACTTGCGACACATTTGTAGTGTTTGTGCATCATGACTTACAGGTTATTCCATTGTTCATCTGCAAGTCCCTCATTGATTGATGTTTCTTGCAGAAATGACAGAACCAGTATTTGAGTTCATGAACCCACCGCCGTACCATCCGAAACAAGTGAAATACCCGCACAAAGAACCTTTTAACTTGTGAGTATGCTCCCGTACCACTGGTATCATGGATTGAAATATACTTGTGTTCATCCGAACAATCCTTAGAACATCACAATGATGCAGCAGTTAATCGCTATCCATCCATTTTCGATATATGCTTTGTCAAAGCTGAAACTTTGTGGTCCAATCTCCTGACTGTGTTGTACCATCTTCCCAAGGCAAGGGAGTTAACTGACTGGAAAAGTCCAGATTCCACTCTTGCCGAACTAGGCTGGAATTTCTGGGCTCGATTATAGCACCACCAGTGGCGATTACGGGTTATGTCCCTTCTGTGTCCCTCCTATTGACCAATAAGATTCTACCTCTCATATCAATTGCACTTGCTTCAAACAAAAAGCCGGCGCTCAGTCAAGATGATCAGATTGATAATCAAGATCTATATTGTAATAAAACAGGTCTTACTTCGCAAAGTTCTTCAAATCACGTGAGCACCTGATTAGAAAGGATTGGGAAAATATACACTGAGTTGGCAGTACACATGCTTGACAAATCTGGCAATCGACTGAAATCTGCACGGCATTTGACAAACTGGATGTTGATTCGTTACACGATTTTGATTGAACTCCTTATTCCAGCCAAAATATAACTCCATAATTCCAGCCTAGTTCGACAAGCGTGAAAACTTGACTTTTACAGTCAGTTAACTCCCTTGCCCCCAGAAGATTGTGTCATTCCAAGTGAAGAAGGTGCTTCAGCTCTGGCATGGTATCTCAGGTGGCTAGCGCTATAAAACCAGCCTATTACCATCAGCCACGCCCCTTGCTGTGTAAGTGCAGTTATGTTGAACATGACCCATTTCACCTCATTCCCTGCTACCATTCTGACGACCTGGTGCTCCTCCCAGTCCTGTACGGTAAGCGGGGATGGGGACATTCTCTGCCTCTGGATCCTTCTCAGACCACGTAATAAATACTGTTACCGTATTAGACGTAATAAGCGCCCAGGGCGCTCTCAAAATTAGGAACAGGGGGCTCTTATTAGAATATTGTTTTGACGAAAAAAACAGAGTTGAAAGATAAATTTAGTGGTTTATGCTGACAGCCTTAAATGTTTATATACGACAGATATATTTTTTCAGAATTTAATTGCCCATAATTAAGGGTGCATATAACACACGAGTACGTATTATAAGCGAAAAAATAAGTCTTGTGTACATTGATCAATCGGAAGGGTGCCAATTGGGATTGTTCACTAGCCAATATATTAGCAAATATCGCCGTGGGCGTTTATTAGAGCGGGGCGCTTATTACGTCGAATACGGTATATGTCTTTCAGCAGCGTGCAACAATAGATGTGCATGTGTTTTGTGCACACATGTTTAAACTGTGAATCCTTAAAATTCTCTACTTACTACCAGTTGTCAGTCGTTCATTTTGTGGAAGCCTCGGTGGCTGAGTGGGTTAGATTGCGACATTGTGTCCTGGCGATTTGGTGCCTCACTCTAAGAGTGTGGGTTTGAATCCCGGATGGAACTCAACCCCAAAAAGTATTAGAATTACTTTACCAAGAAAGTGTTATCCCAAATGTCACATTTGTTATGTTATACATTGTTGACTAAAGGTACTAGTAATAGTAGCTTCTAAGTATTATAGAAACGATCATTAAAATTCTGTTTTTTTCCCTATCTGTATTATAAAGTATGAACTAATGTATTCTGTTGTTTGGTTTCAGATATTTAGACCGGTATAGACATGTGAAGGATATCAATGAAGAAGTCTTAAAAGAGAAATTGAAAAGAATATCCCCATTCAGGCCAAACAAACCCAAACCCTTGTACCCAGGAATTATTCCTTTGCCAAAGTCGATGCCAAGCTGGTTGAAAACTCGGGCCAGGAATATTCGGTTAGGTCGGCACCAGTGGAAGGGACTCCCAGGACAGTAGAGCTGCGGTCTGCCATGGTTACATACTTATAAGCAAGGGAAGAACACTTTGCCTACAATTTGTGAGAGTTTCAGGTGGACTAGAAGGAAATGGTACCTGCACAGCAAGAAGTTGCTGAATGGATGAGTAGACGAGGTTGTTGATTGTGGCACAGCTGGTAATCAAACATGATAATTCACTGTATTGCAGAAACTGGCACTAGTCCTATAGTCCTGGCCAAACTGCCAAATAGTTAAGGTATCATAAGGACTATTAGAAATTTGCCACAGTTTTGCTATAGTATATGTTATCATTATAAGGACCAGTGGACTAAAAATGTTAGTTTCTACTGCTGATCCTAGAATCAGGAAGTAGTTTATGATATATATTTCATAATACTGTAAGGGGCGGTTGGTTAGCCTTGTGGTTAAAACATTCTCTCATCACACGTAGGCCCGGGTTCGATTCCCTACATGAATACAATGAGTGAAGCCTATTTCTGGTGTCCCCCCCCCCCCCCCCCCCCTGTAATATTGCTGGAATATTGCTAAAACGGTGTGAAACCATACTCACTGATTATAATGTTAAAGTTGACTCACAAATAGAGAGAGAGATGTGTTCGAACTGAAAGACATATTTATGAAAGAGGGACTATGTATTTTCGTTTATAATGATCCTTGGGCATGCCAGAAAATCAAGAAACCTATGATCGTGGGTTTGAATCCAGGTTCACCCTGATTTTGTTTGTAGGTATGTCAGCACCATATCCAAGCCCAACTGAGTCTGTTCAGGTTATTATCACACACCAAGCTGACACTTAGATATATAACTGAAATACTGTTCAAAACGGTGTTATACCCAACTCACTCACTCACTCATTGAGAGTGGTGGTTTGCCACTTCCAGTGTGGCTCTGTAGAATCACTATAGAAAGAACTTACTAATAATCATGATAAGTGATGAAGACCAGTTGTTGAACACTTGAAAGGAACAATACGCAGTGCTTTGAGGAGAGGAAGAAGACCGTTCCTTGTTTTAAACTAAGTCTTGGATTATAGACAAGACCCATGCTGTGTTCGTCAGTGGTATTTGACCAGGTGTAGACGAGAAACTGAGACACATGGTTACAGCAATGTGCCAGGACATTCACACGATACATCCTGTTGTCCTGAAATCCCTGAATGGGACTGTGTGGACAATGAATAACATGAATAAAGTGCTGATGTGTTTGTTGACACGTGTTTACTCATATTTGTTTCAACATGTACATATATGTCTTTCTGTTCTATAGCCCAGTTACAATGTGTGAAGCCTATTTCTGGTATCCTTCACTGTGATATTGCTAAAAGCAGTGTAAAACTGCACAAGTTACAATGTGTGAAGCCTATTTCTGGTGTCCCTTGCTGTGATATTGCTGGAATATTACTAAAATGGGGGTAAAACCAAAATCACCCACTCTATCGCCCAAATGGGATTTGGGGGAAGAATTTGTCTCCTTATCCAATGCTTGTCATAAAACTGCAGTAATGACCTTTGAACGATCAGGCTTAGTGACTGCCTGATTGCGTGTAATCGTATTCTGACGATGTGGATCGTTGCTAATGGTTCCAGGATGATTGACAGCCCACCATGATGTAGGTTGTATATTGCTGACTGTTGCCTTCAAATCATCAGCCAACTCTTTTGGGTTGGGTCAGGCTTGCTGACTTGATGCATGTCATAGTATCCCTATTGCATGGATCGATACTCATGATGTCAATCACTGGGTTGTCTGGTCCAGACTCGATTTTTTTACAGACCACCGTCATATAGCTGCAATATTGCTGACTGCAGCATTAAACAACAAACAAAAATTGGGTTGCTGAAGACCAATTCTAACCTGGATCTTCACAGGGATTCTCAGTTGTTCACTCTCCTGTTCCACAGACTTTCTGACATCATATCAGGATAGGAAGATATATGTATCACCAAAACCTTCTTAAGTAAAAACTCTTTCGACTCCTGATAATGGAACATACTTATGTTTATCCTTAACAGATAATGTGATTGGTCTTTGGAAAGACAGACATTGAGAAATATTAATTTGATTTTCTTGCTTCATGTTTGATGATGCAATTCACATTAAAAGGAAAATATTTCTTCTGACTAAAGTCTAAATGAGGGTGTTATGACAGAAACATTTCTTGGAACGCAGGTCAAGAGTTGTCTCCCTTTGACCAATGTCTTTTCTTTTTCAAATCATTTTCTTTGTACGTACTGAAATAAAAATATATTTCTCATTGGAAATTATTTACAGTATACCACATCTACCAATATGCTTGTGTTGTAAAAATGAGAACTTTTTGAGGAAACTATAGTGTTTGAATGAAAACGTCGAATGTTAAAAGGAGCCTAAATTTATTTCACGGTTATATTTTACTGACTTCGCTAACTGCACCGTATTGCCAAAAGCTAACTAGTATTTAATTAGTTTAGACGCTTAGTTACTTAGGATCTAATGTTTTTAATTTCAAATGTCTGTTATAATTAATACATATATATATGAGCTAAACCAGACAAGACCTCACTGCAGCATGATGCAATAACGCTTAGAAATTGCACAATCCTTATCTGTGATGCCAACTGCCCATAGAGTATACAATTATTGCATTTTCATCTGTCGTGAATGTGAAATTACAAAATACAAACAGAAACTAGTTCTAAATTAGAATACTAATTAAATGTGTTTTGTAAAGCATCATGGCCATGTTTGGTTGTGACTGTGGCGACATTGCTGAAACCTCCCGCCCAGTAGATACCCGCGTCAAAGAACATTGGACTTCAACAGCCAAAGCAGACAGCAAATCAGCCCCCCTCGGGCCACCAACAAAATGTCCCGAACCATCAAATTCAGTTTGACAGTCCAAATCCTCTCAACCCAACATCAGGACTTCACAAAAAGAAAACTCACAGAAGCTACAGAAATCCGTCGTCACAACCTTAGATCATCTATTACCTATTGTTAATGTTAACCTGCTGCCTTTAACGACATATCATGTTTATCTATATCTGTCATCACTTGGTTGTTGTCACTCTAGCTTCATCACTTGGTAAGAAACTATAGAGGGAAGGGGATCCGCCCGTGGACCACAAATGTGTGTGTGTCCACACGACCTCTGAATTGAAGCGCCCGTAAAGTACCCACACACTGTATCCTATCCGAAACTACCAGTGCACCACCTGGTATAGTCCTGCGCCATGACTGTGGAATATATATATATATTATTTTTTTACTAAAAGCCTAGGCAAGTCTAGATCAAACTAAACCAAGTCTTGTTTCCTTGACTGAAAACAGCATTTTCATTGACTAAGTATTTGTCTACACCTGGTATAATTCTTAATGTGCAGAGTTAATTGTGTCTGAAGGACTATATTAATAGCTACAACTGCTTGTAAAACGTACTCGATTCGATTCCCCACATGGGTACAATGTGTGAAGTCCATTTCTCATGTCCCCCGTCGTGATATTACTGGAGTATGCTAACCGTGAGTAGCGTTACACCATACTCACTCACTCACGCATTCATCTACGTCACGTCAATCGCACATCGTATTGTCAATATAGTGAATATGAAATAAACGTAATCTAACAGTGAGTGAGTATGGTTTTACGCCGCTTTTAGCAATATTCCCGCAATATCACGGCGGTGGACACCAGAAATGGGCTTCACACATTGTACCCATGTCGGGAATCGAACCGGGTCTACGACGAGACGAGCGAACGCTTTAACCACTAGGCTACCCGATCGCCGCGTATTGTCCAAAAATTAGATGACGGGACCACATAGCTTAATGTTTAATTGTAGAAGGAATCCCAACAGTAAAGCTATTCACTGCCAACTATATCTACAACTACGAGTACGTGATAAAACCATTTAAAGCGAAGCACATATTTCTATATTTACAACACCAACTCGCTTATTAAAAATCTTGATTTAACTGGGATCGGCGATTGTAAAAGTACATGTTTGGCTGGATTATGCAATTATCTGCATTTTTGCGGTTTCATCTGGGTGTGAGTGTGGTTTGTATGGTTTTGGGTGCAGCAGTACGCTCGCACTGTGAGCTGTGTACAGAAACATAAGACCTCTGACCTGTTGGCTCAGTGAGGCGTGAAGTCAGGTGTAGGGTATATTAATGGGCCTTGACTCAGAAACGTGACCTTACGACTGAGCTCATATTGTCAGTTAGGCTGGGATGGGTTGTTGCTACGATCTGATTTCAGAAAACGTATGTGATCTCATGGAACAAATTCACGGGCATTGAGTGAGTGTGTGTGGTTTTACGCTGCTAAAAGCAATATTCCACTAATATCACGGCGGGGGTCAACAGAAATGGGCTTCACACATTGTACCCATGTGGGGAATCGAACCCGGGTTTTCGGCGTGACAAGCGAACACTTTAACCACAAGGCTACCCAACCGCCCCTCAAGGGGTCGTTGTCGGAACGGGTACTACATATGTGCCCCAGGTACGTTTCTGTATACAGAAATGTACTCAAGCAAAAATCAAAATACAGGAATTTGTGTGTGTGTGTGTGTGTGTGTGTTTGGATATGGATGTGTGGATGTGTGTTGATGGACCCGTGAAGATCCGGGGTAGAACAGGAGTCTTCAGCAACCCATGTTTGCTGTGAAAGGTGACTATGTTTGTCGTAAGAGGCGACTAACAGGATCGGATGGTTAGGCTGGCCGACTTGTTTGATGCTTGTCATCGTATCTCAGTTGCGTGGATTGATTCTCATGATGTCAATCTCTGGATTGCCTTGTCCAAACTCGATTATTTACAGACCGCCGTCAAATAGCGGGAATATTGTCGAGTCCGGCGTTAAACCACAAACAAATATACAACAACAACCCATTCAGCCGCATTGAGCGTGGCGCCATGACCCAGAGTGATATCAAAGCATCCCATTAAACATCCGCATCAGCAACAGCAACAACACAGTTGAGATTGCGGAAATATTATAATTATGGTGGCCTTAGAGTAATCGTTTCTCACACCATTTAATTTATTGTAAAAGACATTAAATTTACACGTTACAGGATCAAGAAAAGTACACACGAGTCTCTTTAAACACCGGGAACCAAAATTGAACAAGACGGCTTTCCTATTCTGTAGAGTGATCCATTTAACTGTGAAGCCGTTACTAGTGATCGAGTATACAACTGCCTCATACAAGAGAATCATTGTTGTGTCATGTTCTTCAAACTTCCAATATCGAGAGCCTCCACTTGAACCTTTATTATCTGAAGTGAGGAACTTCCAATGATAATCAGTCCTCCCCGAAACTAGGTCGCATAGCTTCCCGCCAGTGGTCTCGAGTTACTTCCTCAGCATACTTGGAGTGTCGGCCGTACAACTGGCGATAATCTCGTGAAGCGCGGGGCATAAAGGACGTTACCATGGCATTGAGTGACTGACACCGTACCAGTCACGTGACACGATAGACGCGCAAATACCTGATCA